TTCTTTGCAACAAAGAATACTGCCGCTGCAGTAGGACTTTTGGATTTTCTGATATAGCCTTTCTCTAATTGTTTGGCAATCCATTCGTGGAGACTGTTGTCTTCCGCAGGTGTAAGACGGTACACCTTCGACGGTTTAGGGAGCTCTTTGCCCTCTTTAATCTTAATTTGATGATCGTAAGGCTTCCTCATTGGCATACGCTCTGAAGATTCTTTGCTAAATACTTTAGCAAATTGTTTGTATTGTTCAGGTACAGCTGAATCTTCAGGCATCTTGTGAACTCCACGAGAATCCATTGCATAACAGATTGCTTGCACAGTATTCTTGGTTTCATTGGTATAATGTATCCAATTTATACCATAGTTGAGATCCTCAAGATTTTCTTCGGAATCATGGGTCATTCCAAATCCTGCCGGCATTTCATCTTCATATTAGAGATCTAGTTCATAAATCTCCTCATACTCTACCAAATGATTACTCTTCATTCTGTAGCTGCATGACTCTGAACAACAAGTGAACTTCCAAGTTCCTTCTGCCCAGTTGATCTCAGGGTTATGCTTCTGGAGATAATTCATCCTGACAATCATATCTTTAGATCCGAGGTCCGTCACCAGACATGCATGCTTGCTCTCATGATCTCCAATCTTGAGGAAAGCCATGACCATTGTCTTTATATGACCTCCACAATTTACAGATCCATCAGCATTAATAACGGTGAAAGGATGTGGCAAATCCTCTTCAAACAAGTTATTGTCGTTGATGAACCGGCGGTTGATAAATGTTGAAAATGCACCACTATCAACTAGTGCATTTGTTGCTACCTCATTCTTTCCTTTTGCAGTTATAATCACAGGCACAGTAAATTTGTTTTTTGTTTTTGACGAATTAAATATACATGAGTCATCGGTTATTTTACAAATTTCTGACTGGTTTTTCATAATGTGATTACAATGGAAAGAATGTTCTACGCCTGACTGTCCGGTAGACTCTACAATAGGCGTCAACCAAAACCCCGCTCGTTATCCTCATCAGAATCTATCTCCAAGATATGACCTGACGGACTTGGTGAGCATGAAGGCTCAACGATCTTCGTGATCTTGACCTTCCGGTTCTTTTTCTTTGA